CCTTTTGTCCTCTTCGATGGACCAGGACAACCCGGACATTGCCATGTTTCCTGAACTGCACGATGATTCTGTTGACAGTCGAAAGCGGGATTCCCAAGTTCTGCAAAATTTGTCGCTGACTTATTCCATCATCTGCTTGACCAACTATCCTTCCTCTAACAAAATCTGACAATTCGAGAGAACCTTGAGTTCTAGGCATGTTGTAGCACAAGATAATTAGTGTGTGGACCATTTTCATTTATATAGTGCTCTGTGAACACAAATTAGTTAGCATAAGTCAGTTATATGACAAAAAATTAGGTGTCTATTTACTTGTGACCACTCAGTGTATAAATATGGTTACCTACTCAACCACTATTTACTGTTCATGTATAAATATGGTTACCTACTCAACCACTATTTACTGTTCATGTACAAATATGGTTACATACTCAACCACTATTTACTGTTCTTGTACAAATATGGTTACCTACTCAACAACTATTTACTGTTCATGTACAAATATGGTTACCTACTCAACCACTATTTACTGTTCATGTACAAATATGGTTACATACTCAACCACTATTTACTGTTCTTGTACAAATATGGTTACCTACTCAACAATTATTTACTGTTCTTGTACAAATATGGTTACCTACTCAACAACTATTTACTGTTCTTGTACAAATATGGTTACATACTCAACCACTATTTACTGTTCACGTACAATCTACAAATATTATTATCTAACCAACCTACCACTGTTGTTTGTGAGCCTGGTAATCTTCCACAAGTTGGTTAACAACTCTACTTTCAGTATGCAAGTAACCAGCAATATCATCACCGTCCAAAGCTCCTATTTCAGCATCATCATACTGCTCAAATAACTTATGAAAAATAAAATCGAATAGAAAGTGAAAATTAAAATATTTTCTTTGTAAAACAAAACAGATAAACTGTTAGAGATACCTAAACTCAAACTATATGATCTAAAGGATAGTTTAAGTTTCAAACTCTGACCTTAGTAAGTGAGAAAATGCGAGATCATATTTTCCAATATGAATATCCAAATGTAAATAAAAATCCTTCAAATATTAAACAATAAGTCCTTTAAATATACCACTAAAAATTAATATAATGATTTATATCATTAACAGTAACATATGAACATTATATATATATATATGACTAAGTGTTTGTTGTATTTCTAAAGAGATTTACGTATGGTTTACATATTGAAGTTTATTGGGTTTCTAAATAGGTTTACATATGACATAATTTGAAATTTGTTTATTGGGTTTGGAATAGGTTTACACATAACTTACATGAAGTTTGTTTATTGGGTTTCTGAATAGGTTTACACAAGATGTATATGCTTAAGTTTGCTTACAAGGTTTCTGAATAGGTTTACACAAGATTTATATGCTTAAGTTTGCTTACAAGGTTTCTGAATAGGTTTACACAAGATTTATATGCTTAAGTTTGCTTACAAGGTTTCTGAATAGGTTTACACAAGATGTATATGCTTAAGTTTGCTTACAAGGTTTCTGAATAGGTTTACACAAGATTTATATGCTTACAAGGTTTCTGAATAGGTTTACACAAGATGTATATGCTTAAGTTTGCTTACTAGGTTTCTGAATAGGTGTATACATGATTTACATGTTTGGTTGTTTTTAAATTTTGCGCAAAACTACTCAAGGATAAACTGCACTAGCTGTCCTTAATATAGAAGTGATAGACTACAGGGAAGGCAGCTAGTCGTCACCATCCACTGCCAACTCTTGGGCTACTCTTTTACCAACGAATAGTGGGATTAACCATCACATTATAATGCCCCTCACAGCTGAAAGGGTAAGCATGTTTGGAAATACATTTTCAGTGTAGGAAAATTATAACTTCTCATACAGTACTTACCTCCTGTCACAAGATTAGCTAAAATCCACATTGAGAAGGAGGAGAAACTGTGAGGGAATGAAAGAAGTACCCCTGAAAGTGTCCAAAGGATGCCCCTTACAATAAGAGATATTTATACAAAGATCAGAAGAAGGGAACTGCACCACTTCTGAGCCAGGTATACCCTTCACCCATGTGTGGAATGTGTAAGACATAAGGGCAGAAATTGAAAGGTGTAGAGTGGTTGCTGGTGTGAACCCTGAAATGGTAACATGAACTTTGGATTTCATAGCACAAGAAAAGGTTCACAAAATTCGATTGCAGAAAAATAGCGACAAGAATGAACTGGTATGAAATAAAAAGTCAAACAGGAAACAGTTTGCATGAAAAAAAAATTGTTTGTCACACTGGAAGCACTAGGCACCTAAAAGAGTACATTTTAACTCAAATGCTGCCAAACAAAAGTAAAGGTTCGGTAGAGAAGTGTAGAGGGAGTCATATGCATCACGTGAGCGTATTATGCTACTATTGGTTACAAGACGACATATGATAATTCACATAAGAGACATATTGGAATATAGTAATCCCAACAAGAGGGGAGCGGAAGGCTTGTGGAATGAGTAAATAAAAAGTTTGCATACAGAGGGCAGCACTGAACAAGAACAGCTAATCTTGTAGAGGAGATAAGTACTGTATCAAAACTATAAGAAAGTTTGTACAAATCTTAAATGTTGAAGTTTGTTGATTTTCCGAATAGGCTTAGCTGTAAAACTTTTAGGTTGTTATACACCAAGCCAGGTTTGTCTGTTAATCATCCAGTACGACCATTATAAAAAAAATTATACACAGGTTCTAAATAGGTTCCGCTGTTAGATGTTTGGATTGTCACACACCAATCTGGGTTAATCTGTTAATCATTCAGTGGGACCTTTATAATATAGTTAACTTGTCCTTAGGATTACATTTTATTAAAGCCACAAACATTACACTCTTTGAAGCTCATCCCTTAAAAAAAACACAGCTTATGTTGGTACCTTTTCAAACCGTTCGTCTAAAGTCTGCAAAGCTTCGCTCCGTGGCAGTACTGATGACGTGAGGGAGTAGTTAGTGAATCGAGATTTTGTCTCTTCTTCTTCAAATGACCATTGCCCATCAGATAAGCTATTGGAATCTTCATTGTCATCTTCAGCATCCCTAGAATTTTTTTATTTATCTTTTACTGATATCACTTTTGATTAATATCTTACTATTTATTCATTGTTATTCTGATGTCATACATAGTTTCTTTCAAAACCAGTGTTCTGTCTTCTTTAATGTATTGTGGGAGTGTAGCACTGTGGAACTTCTTTCTACAGTACCACAGATTTTAGTTCTTAAAAACACTTTAAATCAAATCTTATTAAAACATAAAAAAATATACTGGGTATAAACAAATGGAATTCAAAGTATTGTATTAACTTTGTTTCAGCTCGCTTATAACTGATCTATGAGAATGTAATCTACCTTATAACTGAACTATGACAATATAATGTACCTTATAACTTACTTATAACTGAACTATGACAATATAATGTACCTTATAACTTACTTATAACTAAACTATGACAATATAATGTACCTTATAACTTACTTATAACTAAACTATGACAATATAATGTACCTTATAACTTGCTTATAACTCATAGATGAGAATATTAATGTACCTTATAACTTGCTTATCTTTTCTATTTCCTAAGATATTGTTAATGTAATAAATCAAATACAGCGGCACTCAGCCCACCTCTTTCCATTCTTGGAAACACTCCCTTATATACACTTACTTCTATATATGACATGAATAACCAATCAAAAGCTCAGAATATCCCCCTAGTGGCTTTCTCAGCCATTTTCATGTGTTAGGATGCCATCTTGTTCTTTCAAATCATGATTTCAAGGAAGTAGGTTGTGTCTTTAGTCTCTTGAAACTTAATATTTTTTAAATTGAAATACAATTTAGTTACTAAGCTTGATAAATTATAGTGGAATTTTATAGTATTGATGTAGTAATTTATAATTTTTTAGTTATTCAAATGTATATATAAAACCTAAAAAAAATTATTTCATTTCATATCCTCCACATGAAAAATTTTAAAAGGCTTAGCAACCGAGTACAAAGGTT